CGAGAGCTTCTCCATGGCCCGCACTCTCTCATCCGTGAGCGCCTTCTGCGTATCGGATAGTTGGCCAATAGTAATTCCGCAAGCAGAGTCTTCCGCCTCGTCATCTCCATCCTCAGGGGAGTAAAAGACCCTTTTCCTTTTTTTTCCCCGATTTCGTTCTTGTCATTGATCCGGAAGATGAAGAGCTTCTCCTGCTTTTGCCAGTTTCATACCCCGTTATCTCTACATCGTCATCCATTGGTGTGCCCCTTCCGGGTGTACTCCCAGCTTCAGTCATTGACACGAATTCCACCTCCGTGTCCCCAGCCGTTTTCTTCTTCTGTGCAGCTGGTTCTCCTCTGTCCTTTCTCGGTCTAATTGGGGTCACGAACCCCTCCTTGTCTACATCTATTCCCGTAGGTATGTCGGATTCACCCTCTTTCCTCGTGTCTGGACGCTGCCCGACCTTCCATCTGGACTCATCGAGCCTTTCAACGCTCACTGATAGCTTTTTATTCTCGACGATAGTAGTAATAGGTGAGGGCCTCACCTGAGCCCCACCCCGCTCCCATCGCATGCTGTCGACGCGGGGGGACTGGGACAAGCATCCCCCGCGCGCCGTTCCCCGGAGTTCCGAACCTCCGAGGGGGTAAATTTTTTTAAGACCGGTTTGTACGAACAGACTCGTGGACTGTTCAAGCCTACAAAGTGTACAAAGTACTTGCTACCCGGGTTCTCAGCTAATGATAGTATTGTAAGGCCGTAGAAATATTCATAAACAGTAGAACGTCTTAAAGCGGATACTCCTCGTTATCCCCAGAAAGAGCGCTGTACGCCCTCATAAGGGCGCAACAGTGAGGGTTGAGGTAGTATAAGTTAACTCAAATTAAATCAAACATAAATTTAAGATATAATCTAACAGCTCGCAAACAACAATGTTGGTAAAAATGAGAATAACGCTAGTAACGCAAAACTCTAAGAGTAAGAATAACAATAATAATAAACAACGCTAGTCTCAATTAACTCCACTATTCAACAACAACAATTCGCACGAAACTTAGATCTAATAATAAAACTAATACTAATCTACAACTAAAATTATAATTAACATTAAAGGCCAATGCCGTTCTGATCTTTATTCCACTCGGGGTCGTTCGTGAAAACGGCCCAAATGCCCAGAATCCGATCGCGCTGTAGACGCACCGCGATATTACCGAAAGATCGCCTGTCGGCTCTCCACTACCATCGACCGCCGTACCCCAATCCGTACGCGGGTTATTGAACATTAAATACTTAACAAGTATTCGTTAATTCGATACATGAAAATCGCCAAAAGGTTCCGCTCGAAAGATCACCGCATGGACACTCAAAGATAAACGGCTCGGTGTATATACCAATGTGGCCACACACTTCTGTGTCATGAGAACCGGCCTGAATTACATTCTTCGTTTCTCAAGATCTTGTTGGCTTTATGCTTGTGCCACAATCCTCAAAGTAGGAGTTGTCACTCTATACTTTTATTACTTTATGCTTTAGGGAACCCGCTCCGAGTATCCACTGACGCTCTGTGTATCTACAGTCCGCGGTACA